CACTGCCAGAAGTCCTGAGGGCATCTAAGTAATCAGACACCTTTAGGCATCCTTTGCCCAGTAAAAATCTACTTGACCAGACACATGCCAGGTAAATTTTCACATTCACTTCAACCTTATTGCGTACTCATTTTAGAGTTAAAACTTTTGCCGGGCACAGTGGCTCATGCCTGTAATCCCAGCACTTTGGGAAACCAAGGCGGGCAGATCACGAGGTCAGGAGATCAAGACCATCCTGGCCAATATGGTGAAACCCTGTCTTTACTAAAAATACAAACATTAGATGGGCATGGTGGTACCTACCTGTAATCCCAGCTTCTCTGGAGGCTGAGGGAGGAGAATCCCTTGAACCAGGGAGTCAGAGGTTTCAGTGAGCCTAGATTGTACCACTGCACTCCAGCCTGGTGACAAAGTGAGACTCTGTCTCAAAAAAATGAAAGACTTTTAATAAAATGCGTGCTGGGCACAGTGGCTCACGCCTATAATCCCAACACTTTGGGAGGCTGAGGTGGGCGGATCACAAGGTCAAGTGTTCAAGACCAGCCTGGCCAATATGGTGAAACCCCATCTCTACTAAAAACACAAAAATTAGCCAGGAGTGGCTGTAAGCGCCTGTAATCCCAGCTCCTCAGGAGGCTGAGGCTGAGAATTGTTTGAACCCAGGAGACAGAGGTTGCAGTGAGCCGAGACTGTGCCACTGCACTCCAGCCTGGGTGACAGAGCAAGACTCCATCTCAAAAATAAATAAATAAATATAAAATGCTCCTATTCCAGGCTGGGCGCAGTGGCTCACGCCTATAATCCCAGCACTTTGGGAGGCCGAGGTGGGTGGATTACGAGGTCAAGAGATCAAAACCATCCTGGTCAACAAGGTGAAACCCCATCTCTACTAAAAATATAAAAATTAGCTGGGCATGGTGGTGCCTGCCTGTAGTCCCAGCTACTCAGGAGGCTGAGGCAGGAGAATTGCTTGAACTCGGGAGGCAGAGGTTGCGGTGAGCCGAGATAGTGCCATTGCACTCCAGTCTGGGTAACAACAGCGAAACTCCATCTCAAAAACAAAGAAAAAAAAATGCTTCTATTCCTTCACGCTTTTTTTCTGTGAGATCTTAAATACCCCTTCTTGCTAATAAAATTCACCAGCCCAATATTTTAAAAATAATAAGCCAAGACGTGGAGTGGTGACTTGCACTTGTATTCCCAGCACTTTCAGAAGCAGAGGCTGAAGGATCACTTTGACCCAGGAGTTCGAGACCAGCCCAGGCAACGTGGCCATACTGCCTCTCTACAAAAAGTTAAAAAATTAACCGCGTGTGGTGGCGCACTGCAGTCCCAGCTACTGGGCTGGGATATCAGGCTGAGGTGGAAGGGTAGCTTTGAGCTTGGAAGTTTGAGGTTGCAGTGAGCTATGATTATGCCAGGGCACTCCAGCCTGAGTGACAGAAGGAGACCCTGTCTCAAAAATAACAATAAATAATTAAGAATAATAATAGGACAAACCAAATACCCATCACCTTCTACTGTGTTCCCCCTTTCCCCAGTAATCCCAGTGTCTTGCTTTCACATTTGGTGGTCAAAAAAGATGACGAAGGCTGGGTGCAGTGGCTTATGTCTGTAATCTCAGCACTTCGAGAGGCCAAGGAGGGCAAATCATGAGGTCAGGAGTTGGAGAGCAGCCTGGCCAACATGGTAAAACCCCATCTCTACTAAAAATGCAAAAAATTAATGGGATGTAGTGGTGAGTGCCTGTAATCCCAGCTACTTTAGAGGCTGAGGCAGAAGAATCGCTTGAACCTGGGAGGTGGAGGCTGCAGTGAGCAGAGAACGAGCCACTGCACTCCAGTCTTAGCAACACAGTGAGAATCCATTAAAAAAAAAAAGATGAGCTTCTAAGATGTGGGGGCTAAAGCTTGTTTGGGTTTGTTGAAAAATGTGTTTTAGTGTATGTACTTGTGAATTATTTCAGGTTTGCCATAACCGGTTCTCCATTAAGTAGTGTTGGGTTAATTTTCACCATCTCTTATGTGGTTGAATAGTCAGCTCTGAACCACTTTTTCCTCCAGTAACTCCTCTTTCTTCGGCCCTTCTGCAGCTAACCTGAAAGAATAACAAGGAGGTGGCTGGAAACTTACCTTAAGGAACCGCCTGTCCTTCCCCCGCTGGAAACCTTGCACTTCGGACGCCCCTGCCCCCACCTGACCTCCGCCCTCGTTGACATCCAGGCGCGGTGATCTTTCCTGCCAGTAGAGGGCACACTTACTTTACTTTCGCAAACCCGAACGCGGGTGCAGCCCGAAGAGGGAGCGAGGCGGGCGGGGGGGGGCGGGGGTGAGGGGAGACGCTTTGCAGCAAAATCCAGCCTAGCGATTGGTTGTTCCCCAAGTTTGCGGCAAAGGCCTAGAGGCAGGAGTAATTTGCAATCCTTAAAGCTGAATTGTGCTGTGCGTCTGATTTGGGGGAAGTTACTACATTCACTTAACAATTGAACGCCGAGCTGCAAACTCAGTGGGTAATAACCCATCTTGAATAGTGTTCAGGCTACGCTCACCCCGAATAGTTTTCTGTTTTGTAGGCAGTGGAGTGAGAGAAAAGTTTATCAAGGATGAGAAGAATGTCTTCTGTTTTTCATACCGTGGAATAGCACAAAATAAAAAAATCCCGAAGGAATATGCGTGATGTGTTAAATATAGATCATTTCAGGGAGCAAACAAATCATGTGCCGGGTTGGGCAACTAGCTAAGTCGAAGTGTGAATGAAATGTGAATACATGTTTGCGGGTTACATATAATACACTTTCACTAGTATTCAGAAAAAAAAAATTGGAGTCAGTGAACTAGGAAATTAATGCCTGAAAGGCAGCCAAATTTTAATTAGCTCAAGACCCCGCCTCCCTCAAAAAGGCACGGAAGTAATACTACTCTCCTCTTCTTTGATCAGAATCGATGCATTTTTTCGTGCATGAACTGGCTTATAATAATAAAAAGGGAAAGAAGACCTGGAAAAGAATTTAATGTCCGGTTTGTGCGGGGAGGAAGGAGTTAACGGTTTTTTTTTTTTTTTTTCGCAAGGGTCTCTGCTGACTCCCCCGTCTCAGTCGACAAGCTCTCCACTTCCCTCTTTTAGGAAGTCCGGTCCCGCGGTTCGGGTCCCCCCTGCGCCCCCGCCCCATTTTCTCCAGTCTAGCGCCTTTGATTTCTCCCAAACCCGGGAGCCCGAGACTGGTGCAAACCGGCGCCACAGGGCGCAAAGAGGATTTGTCTCTTCTGAAACCTGGCTGCGAAATTGGGAACTCCGTGTGAGAGGCGCGGGGGTGGGATGGTAGGGTACTGACTGGCAGAGAGCAGGCAACCTCCCTCCCGCCCTACTCCAGCTCGGAAACAGGCAGAAACATCTCAGGGCTTAGCGCGTCCAGGAGGAACAGACGCCTCCCGCACGGGGCCCCACGGAGGCCTGCGCGGGTGGGGCGGGAGGGGCGGTCTCTGCTGCTTTGGCAGCAAATTGGGGGACTCAGTCTGAGTGGAAGGTATCCAATCCAGATAGCTGTGCATACATAATGCATAATGCATGACACCCCCCAACAAATGCAATGGGAGTTTATTCATAACGCGCCCTCCAAGTATACGTGGCAATGCGTTGCTGAGTTATTTTAATCATTCTCGGCATCATGTTCCTCCTTCTGCCTCTATCATTTCTCCTTATCTACACTAACACCCCACGCTCTGAACGCGGGCCCATTAATGCCCTTGTTTCCTCCACTCTCCCTGGGACTCCTGATCCAAGCGCGGCCCTTGCCCCAGCCTTAGGGAGGCGCCCTGCCGCCTGGTACGCGCGTGTCGTGGCGGTGGGCGCGCAGTGTATTCGCGGTGTGGAGGGCAGCTGTTCCGCCTGCGATTATTTGAACTCACAGGACAAGGATGCGGTCTGTCAAATGGTGCTGCTAAAGAGGAGCAGGAGAGAAAGAGAGGGTTTGAGCCCGAGCAAAAGAAAATGGTAGGAGAGCGCAGTTAATTCATGAGACTCTCTTACTCTGTTTACATCCGAGAACTAGAGTGTTCGGCAGCCGGGCTGAATCTCCTCCCCCACCCGCCTCCCCACCACCCTCCCCAGAAGCGCCCCTCCCGGGTTCCCAAAGCAGAGGGCGTGGGGGAAAAGAAAAAAGATACTCTCTCGCGAATCCCCGCCCACCAACCCGCCCTTTATAGTGCGAGGGTCTGCGCGGCCGAGGACCCCCGAGCTTTGCTGCTCGCCGCCGCCGTCACCGCCGGGCCCCGGCAGTCCCGGGCTCCCCTCCTGCCTGGAGAAGGGCAGGGCTTCTCAGAGGCTTGGCGGGAAAAAGAACGGAGGGAGGGGACGCGCTGAGTATAAAAGCCGGTTTTCGGGGCTTTATCTAACTCGCTGTAGTAATTTCAGCGAGAGGCAGAGGGAGCGAGCGGGCGGGCAGGCGAGGGTGGAAGAGCCGGGCGAGCCGAGCTGCGCTCCGGGCGTCCTGGGAAGGGAGATCCGAAGTGAAAAGGGGGCTTCGCCTCCGGTCCAGCCCTCCCGCTGACCCCCGCAGCCAGCAGCCCACAACCCTCGCCGCATCCACGAAACTTTGCCCTTAGCAGCGGGCGGGCACTTTGCACTGGAACTTACAACACCATAGCAAGGACGCGACTCTCCCGACGCGGGGAGGCTATTCTCCCCATTTGAGGACACCTCCCCGCCGCTGTCGGGACCCGCTCCTCTGAAAGGTCTCCTTGCCGCAGTTTGGACGCTGGATTTTTTTCGGGCAGTGGAAAACGAGGTAGGCAGCGGGGTCCATTTGTCTTTTATTTTTTTGTCGCTTTAATGCTGAGATGAGTCGAATGCCGAAATAGGTTGTCTTTTCTCCCATTCCTGCGTTATTGACACTTTTCTCAGAGTAGTTGTGGTAGGTTGGGGTTGGGTGGGGTGTGATCCAGAACTGGATCGGGGTAAAGTGAGTTGTCAAGATGGGAGAGGAGACTGCAGGGGGAAAACGGGAATGTGTTCTTAAGACTAGCCTTTTGAGATTTCTGCCTTAGGAATATATTAACGCTGACTCCCGGCCGGTCGGACACTCCTGCTTTATTGTGTTAATTGCTGTTTGGGTTTTGGGGGGACTGGGGGGTTGCTTTGGGGTGGGCAGTAAACCTCTTGCATCCTGAGCTCCTTGGAGTAGGGACCACATATCGCCTGTGTGAGCCCGAGAGCTCCGCGGCCGCTGACTCTTCCCCGTCTCCAGGAGGGCATTTAAATTTCGACTCACCGCATTTCTGACAGCCGGAGACAGACACTGCGGCGCGTACCGCCCGCCCGCCCGTCCCCGCGGCGATTCCAACTCGCCCTGATCCTTTTAAGAAGTTGGCATTTGGGCTTTTTAAAAAGCAATCATACAATTTAAAACCTGGGTCTCCAGAGGTGTTAGGACGTGGTGTTGGGGAGGCGCAGGCAGAGGGAAAGGGAGACGGGGATGTGTCCGATTCTCCTGGAATCCTTGACTTGGAAAAACCAGGGCGAATCTCCGAACCCAGCCCTGACTCCCCTGCCGCGGCCGCCCTCGGATGTCCTCGCGCCCCTGAGATGCGGAGTGACGGCGAGGAGCGAGGGTCGGGGCTGTTCCAGAACAGCTGCTACCCTTGGCGGGTGGCTCAGGGCGAAGTATCGCAGCGGGCTCTCTGGCGCAGTTGCGTCGCCGTATTGAGTGGCAGGGAGGTGCCCCTGTTATCATTTGACAGCCCCCTTGTATTTATGGAGGGGTGTTAAAGCCCGCGGCTGAGCTCGCCACTCCAGCCGGGGAGAGAACAGAAGAAAAGCCGGCAAACGAAGAAGGGGGACGCATTGGGGGTGGGGACGGGAGCGGTGGAGAGGGAAGGTTGGGAGGGGCTGCGGCGCCGGCGGGGGTAGGAGCGCAGAGAGGGCGCGAGTGGGAACAGCCGCGGCAGAGGGGCCCGGGCGCGGGAGCGGGGTGCGCGCCTCCGCTAGCGCCCAGGCGCCTCTCGCCTTCTCCTTCAGGTGGCGCAAAACTTTGCGCCTTGGGTTTTGGCAAATCCTCACCGCCGCCTCCCGCGGCCTCTTAGGGGGTGACCAAGGCGGATTTCGATTCCTCCGCCGCTGCGGGGCCGCCTCCGGGGCTTCGCGCTCCGGTCTCCCGGGCCTGGGACTTGGTGGGCACCAAGCTGCTGGTTCACAAAGTGCATGTCTGAGATAGTAGGGAGCTGCCCAAAGGGGGTGAAAGGGTGCCCTCCCCCCCTTTTTTGCCCCACCGAGACCACCCAGTCGCTTTAGGGGATAGCACGGGAAGGGGAGTGGTCCGGGGCTGTGGTCCGCCCTGCGCGCTGCGCCAGGTTTCTGCACCAAGACCCCTTTCACTCAAGACTGCCTCCCTCTTTGTGTGCCCCCTCCTGCAGGCTCCCGCGACGATGCCCCTCAACGTCAGCTTCAGCAACAGGAACTATGACCTCGACTACGACTCGGTGCAGCCGTATTTCTACTGCGACGAGGAAGAGAACTTCTACCAGCAGCAGCAGCAGAGCGAGCTGCAGCCGCCAGCGCCCAGCGAGGATATCTGGAAGAAATTCGAGCTGCTGCCCACCCCGCCTCTGTCCCCGAGCCGCCGCTCGGGGCTCTGCTCGACCTCCTGCGTTTCAGTCACGCCCTTCTCCCCTCGTGGAGACAACGACGGCGGTGGCGGGAGCTTCTCCACTGCCGACCAGCTGGAGATGGTGACTGAGCTGCTGGGAGGAGACATGGTGAACCAGAGCTTCATCTGCGACCCGGACGACGAGACCTTCATCAAAAACATCATCATCCAGGACTGTATGTGGAGCGGCTTTTCGGCCGCCGCCAAGCTCGTCTCAGAGAAGCTGGCCTCCTACCAGGCTGCGCGCAAAGACAGCAGCAGCCCGAACCCCGCCCGCGGGCACAGCGTCTGCTCCACCTCCAGCTTGTACCTGCAGGATCTGAGCGCCGCCGCCTCGGAGTGCATCGACCCCTCGGTGGTATTCCCGTACCCGCTCAATGACAGCAGCTCGCCCAAGCCCTGCGCCTCGCCAGACTCCAGCGCCTTCTCCACGTCCTCGGACTCTCTGCTCTCCTCGACGGAGTCCTCCCCGCGGGCCAGCCCCGAGCCCCTGGTGCTCCATGAAGAGACACCGCCCACTACCAGCAGCGACTCTGGTAAGCGGAGCCCGTCCAGGCCTGTCCAAAGCGGGGCGGCTGGATAGCTCTCCCATTTTCATTGGCATTTTATTCAACGGGCCACTTCAGTCGACCCTGCCTTTCTCTTAGTAGGAAGGAGGGAGAGCAGATCTGGACAGATTTGGGAACTCAGCACCTCTGAAACCCTGGGCCTTAGCGTTTCCTCCCATCCCTTCACCTTAGACCGCCCTTGTTTCCAGCCCCCTTCCCCCTTTCTCTCCCACCTCTCAGGAATTTCATTTAGGTTTTTAAACCTGGCTTATTTCACAACTCAATCCACTTCTCACCTCCCTTAAGCATTTTAATTGCCCCGGGGTGGGTAGATGGGGGGGAATGGGGATAAGAGAGGATTGATCTCTGAGAGATGAATGAATTGCTTCTCTCTTAACTTCCAAGAAGTGGTTGGGATTTAATGAACTATCTACAAAAATGGGGGCTGTGGTTAGAGGCCAAGCAGGGCCTCCCTGATGCAGGAGCCAGTCAGCTGCCTCAAGAGTGAGGCTGAGGAGCTGGGATCTTCTCAGCCTATTTTGAACACTGAGTTGTGTTCAAATCCTTGAGTTGCAAGGACCTTTTTTTTTTCTTACCCCATCCTCTTGGACTATTGGCAAAACTACAATTGTTTTTTCTTTTTCACTTCCAGTAAAATAGGGAGTTGCTAAAGTGATACCAAGCAATTTGCAGCTCTCATTTGCAACACCTGAAGGGTTCTTGGTAAAGTCCCTTAAAAATAGGAGGTGCTTGGGAATGAGCTTTGCTTTGGGTGTGTCCAAAGCCTCATTAAGTCTTAGGTAAGAACTGGCATCAATGTGGTATCCTGGGAAATGGTAGTTTTCTTGTCTGTGCCATCACCCAGCTGTCCTGCCTTCGTGGTGAGAGGAGGTAGGGTGGCTGGCTAGATTGGTTCTTTGGGGAGATCATTTTGTCCAAAGACCTTTCTAACATATTAATGCCTTATATTTCTACAGCATTACATCGGGTAATTGATCATTTTAATGAAACATCGCTAACCGAGTGATTTCTATTTCCTTTCTTAAAGAGGAGGAACAAGAGGATGAAGAAATCGATGTCGTTTCTGTGGAAAAGAGGCAGCCTCCTGGCAAAAGGTCAGAGTCAGGATCACCCTCTTCTGGAGGCCACAGCAAACCTCCTCACAGCCCACTGGTCCTCAAGAGGTGCCACGTCTCCACACATCAGCACAATTACGCAGCCCCTCCCTCCACGCGGAAGGACTACCCAGCTGCCAAGAGGGTCAAGTTGGACAGTGTCAGAGTCCTGAGGCAGATCAGCAACAACCGAAAATGCACCAGCCCCAGGTCCTCGGACACCGAAGAGAATGACAAGAGGCGAACGCACAACGTCCTGGAACGCCAGAGGAGGAACGAGCTCAAACGGAGCTTCTTTGCCCTGCGTGACCAAATCCCAGAGCTGGAAAACAATGAAAAGGCCCCCAAGGTAGTTATTCTTAAGAAAGCCACAACATACATCCTGTCCGTCCAAGCAGAGGAGCAAAAGCTCATTTCTGAAAAGGACTTGTTGCGGAAGCGACGAGAACAGTTGAAACACAAACTTGAACAGCTGCGGAACTCTTGTGCATAAGGAAAAGTAAGGAAAAAGATTCCGTCACACAGAACCGTCAACATTCATTACCTATGAACTTGTTTGCAACGCATGATCAAATGCAACCTCACAACCTTGGCTGAGTCTTGAGACTGAAAGATTTAGCCATAATGTAAACTGCCTCAAATTGGACTTCAGGCATAAAAGAACTTTTTTATGCTTACCATCTTTTTTTTTTTCTTTAACAGATTTGTATTTAAGAATTGTTTTTAAAAAATTTTAAGATTTACACAACTTTTCTCTGTAAATATTGCCGTTAAATGTAAATAACTTTAATAAAACGTTTATAGCAGTTACACAGAACTTCAATCCTAGTGTATAGTACCTAGCATTATAGGTACTATAATCCTGAATTGTTTTTATTTAAGTACATTTTGCTTTTTAAAGTTGATTTTTTTTTCTATTGTTTTTAGAAAAAATAAAATAACTGGCAAATATATCATTGAGCCAAATCTTAAGTTGTGAATGTTTTGTTTTTCTTCCCTCCTCCCCACGTCACCACCTCCCCTGTTTGTTTTCATCAATTACCCCTCATAGGAAAGTGGTTTTGAGAAAGGCAAGAGTTTTCCTCTGTTGAAATGGGTCTGGGGGCCTTAAGGTCTTCAGGTTCTCAGGGGTTATAAGATGCTTCCTGGAGATTATGGATAAGAGCCAGAGTTGACAGTTAAAAGAAGAAATGGCAGAAGGCTGGTGAGAAGGTTAGAGGTAGGCAAAGGAGATACAAGAGGTGAAAGGTAACAGTTGTGTACACAAAGAAGGATAAGGACTGGGGGTTGGGAGAAAGGTGAAGAAGAAACTCCTGTAACTTTAGTTAACCAGTGCCAGCCCCCAGGTCAATCCAGACCCAGGAATTCTGCCCAGTGAGACAGTTGATGGGGAAAGGGCAGGAACCAACCTCTGCTGCCTTCACAACCAGGCGCCAGTCCCATCCGTGGGTTATCTCATAAGCCCCAGAGGAGCTCTGGGAGGAATGCAACTATTAACCCTATTTTACAAACAAGGAAATAGAAGAGCTCAAAGGGGTTATGTAAGGTCTCTAGCCACGCAGATCATAAAAAGCAGCACCCAGGTCCCATTCTGTTCAAAACACTTAACCCTTCACTATCATGCCTTGGTTCATCTGGGTCATTAGTGCTGAGATGGAGAAGGTTTGGGGCCTGATTGATGGCTGGACCCAAGTCATAACAATGCTAAGCTCTATTTGTGTGCCGAGCACTCCGAAGCATTTTATTCCTAACTCTACATCAACACCATGAAGGAGATACTGTTGATTTCCCCCATATTAGAAATAGAGAGGGAGCCTGTAATCCTAGCACTTTGGGAGGCAGAGGTGGGTGGATCACCTGAGGTCAGGAGTTCAAGACCAGCCTGGCCATCATGGTGAAACCCCATCTTTTTATTAAAAAAAAAAAAAAAGAAAAAAAGAAAGAAATAGAGAGGGAAGCTGAGGCACAGAAAGACTCATCCACATGCCCAAGATTCACTGATAGGAAAGAGTAGAAGTGAGATCCAAACTCAGGCTGTTTACTCCTACCCTTTCCAAGCCACCTCTCAAATGATGGTAGGAATCCGATGGCTGCTTTGAGGACAGTTACAGTCCAGTGGGTTATGTATTTTAAGTCTCAACATCTAAGCCTGATCAGGCATCAGTTCCCCCCTTTTTTTGCTGTTTTTTATTTTGTTGTTCATCGCTGGATTTTTCCTTCCACATTGAGAAGGTCACCACCTTGACTCCTATTTTATCCATTTGTTGAATCAGATTCACGATGGCTCCTAAGAAGAAGCCAGTTCAGACCACAAAACACATGTATTCTTTGTCATGGGAACCATCATTTTAGAAACTACAGACTCTCCTTGCTTCCATCTTCTTTCACACACTCATGACACATGCTCATCCTGAGTCTTGAAAAGGTGTTTTTGAACATGCATTTTAACTATAAGCCTCTGAAAACCTATGGCCCAAACCAGAAATGATGCTGATTATACGGGTAAATGAACGTTACTATTGCTGATCTAATGACCTCGTTGTCTCCGTCTCAGAGTAGGTCTTCAGCTCCCTGCTCTTAGAGATTTCAATCGACCACCACCCATAAATCAAGAAATAATTACTGTCTTGGGCTCTGAATCCTAGAATAATCTATTCAAGACCTTAATGTCTTTTCTTGATCTTTCTTTTGAGTCCTAAGTACTGCCCTTACAGCTTCAAATTGGCACACCTATAGGCGAAATTCAAAGGGAAATGCAATCCACAGAAGTTGAGTAGTTCAAAGTGTTACAAATGCGAGGCGCTCTTAAACAGTTCAGTCTTTGCCCCTTTGCGGCCCAGGGCTGGAATGCAGCTCTGGGGTGACTCACTTGGGAACTGGGAAGGTGTTAGTCTGAATCACTAAGCCCAGGCAAGCCCTCAGAATAGGAGAGAGTGTTCCTAGCAAGGAAAACAACTCTCCGTTCCAAATGCTCAGGAAAGAACTTTAGGGATGTGGAGCTTGGCTATGGGAATAGAAAGGAACCATTCCAAGTACCTATTAGGCCACCTCTTACCTTTACTGAGCCAGAGAATGGCTCTGAAAACAGGACAGATGCCAACTTCCTTTCCAAGAGTCAGGCTGATCTTGACCACAATACAAATTGGCCCTCAGAGCCAATCCAGGGAGTCCCAGGGGTCTCTGCTATTGTGCAATCTCTTTTGTAGATAATAATCAAGAATCGGAGGTGAAGAGGAGGAGTCTGCAATTTGGTCAGGAATATATAAGAAGGAATACGCTAATTCTGACGATGCCTTTTACCCATGACACTATCCAGGAATTAATGACTCTCCCCAGGGATTCCTGGAATAATTTTGTTTAGGGATGGAATGTATAAAGAGGAAGGAAGTGTTATTTTATGCTGCCATTTGGAAGCAACAAAGGAGATCAACAGTATAAAAACAATCCATCAAATTTGAAAATGAACAAAGTTTTCACACTCCCAGCTTAATACTTAGCTCACAGCTTAGATGCATAAGTGAAGAGTTCTCTGCTGGTCTCGAAGACAAATTATTCTCACACAAAGCTTGGGAAAGAAGACAAAATTTGTTGCATTAGGGGGTTTTCTGTGGTTTGTTTGCAATAACTATAATTGGCTCAGTCAATAATTATATTTTAGTATACACGCTAGGGGCCCCTGTACCATTTTTTCCCAACAATAAATAATCCCTAGTCTAGAAAATGCTGGGATGTTCTCCACCCTTGCCTTTAAATGTACTGCTAGATGACTTTACCAAAGGCTCCTCCTTTGAGGTGATAGAACATTCTAGGCCTATATTAAAGGAGAAGAAGAGTGGCCTGGCGCGATGGTCACACCTGTGATCCCAGCACTTTGGGGAGGTCAAGAGATCAAGACCATCCCTGCTAACATGGTAAAACCCGATCTCTACTAAAAATACAAAAAGAAAATTAGCCAGGCGTGGTGGCGCACACCTGTAGTCCCAGCTACTCAGGAGGCTGAGGCAGGATAATCGCTTGACCCCGGGAAGCACAGAGGCTGCAGTGAGCAGAGATTGTGCCATTGCACTCCAGCCTGGGAAACAGAGTGAGACTCTGTCTCAAAAATAAATAAGTAAATAATAATAATAACAATAATAAAGAAGAAGAGCAAAAACAAAGCCCGCAGGATGCGAACAGGGACTCATTTTAAGAAATAAAAAACTCACGCCTATAATCCCAGCACTTTGGGAGGCCGAGGCGGGTGGAGCACGAGGTCAAGAGACCATCCTGGTCAACAAGGTTAAACACCATCTCTACTAAAAATACAAAAATTAACTGGGCATGGTGGTGCGCGCCTGCAGTCCCAGCTACTCAGAAGGCTGAGGCAGGAGAATTGCTTGAACCCAGGAGGCGGAGGTTGCGGTGAGCCGAGATCGTGCCATTGCACTCCAGCCTGGGTAACAAGGGCGAAATTCCGTCTCAAAACAAAAAAACAAAAAACAAATAAATAAATTAAATAAATAAATAAAAAGACTCTACTACCTACCTCCAAAGCCTTAGCAATAATTTTTCTTTGTTCTACCTCCTTCAGAGAGAACTTAGACTAACTATACATTTAGAGGAAAACACCCAGGAATCCTGGCTTTGTCAAACTGGTTTGAGATGACTGTAAATGACTCTAAGTTGATTTCGTGTTTAATTTTATTTCATTCATTATTAGCCTTCACTAAGCTCTTTCGGAAGACAGAGTTGAGGGAAACAACTGTTAATGGAATGTAGATCTTCTGAGGTTGAAAGGAATGTTCTTTGTTTTCAAACAATGCCTGGGAGCTCAGCCCCCTCCCCAACACTTTCTTTCCATTGTCATCCGTATCAGCGCATTGAGGGATAAAACACTCCAGCGCAGTCTGAGGTCTACTGGGGTGGGAAAGGAGAGAGCTCCGGGAGAGAGAATGAACTTTTATTACATATGTCCACTCTTCCAGACTCTCCATCTCACCAGACCCAACAACAGCCAGCTGGAAGAATGTGACAGTTGTTGAATGTGACAATACTGAGGTTTAGACAAGTTAAATGGCTGTCTCTAAATTACACAAGGACCAACAACAACACAACAGTAATATGGCCGAGCGCGGTGGCTCATTCCTGTCATCCCAGCACTTTGGGAGGCTGAGGCGGGTGGACCACCAGGTCAGGAGCCTAACAAAGTAAAACCCGGTCTCTACTAAAAATGCAAAAAATTGCCTGGGCGTGGTGGCACATGCCTGTAGTCCCAGCTACTTGGGAGGCTAAGGCAGGAGACTCTGTTGAACCCGGGAGGCTGACGCTGGAGTGAGCCAAGATTGCACCACCACCTTACTCCAACCTGGGGGACAGAATGAGACTTTGTTTCAAAAACAAACCAACAACAACAGAAAAAAGAAAAAAAAAACACAGTAATAGTAGTTAAATGTTTACTGTGTGCTGAACTTTTTTTTTTTTTGAGATGGAGTTTCACTCTTGTTACCCAGGCTGGAGTGCAATGGTGCAATCTCAGCTCACCACAATCTCCACCTCCTCTGTTCAAGCAATTCTCCTGCCTCATTCTTGCCTCAGCCTCCCGAGTAGCTGGGATTACAGGCATGTGCCACGCCCAGCTAATTTTGTGTTTTTCAGTTTCTCCATGTTGGTCAGGCTGGTCTCGAACTCCCGATCTCAGGTGATCCGCCCACCTCAGCCTCCCAAAGTGCTGGGATTACAAGTGTGAGCCATCGTGCCTGGCCAACATTTTTACATGTATTATCTTACTTCATCCCCAAAGCAGCAGTTAGGAAGTAAGCTCTATCTCCAATGCCCACTGCCCAGATGAGAAGACTGAAACTTTGAGGGATTAAGTAACTTGCCTGCATTCATGAAGCTGGCAAAATGGTGACAGCAGAAATTATGTATTCGTTCACAAACATCTGAGCACACTGTTTACCAATGCCACGGTAGAGGTGGGAAGAGATACCAGG